ATAATAATTATTAGGGTTACAAAGTGTTTATTATGTAGAAGAAGTTTTTTCTAGAACCTTCTACTCATTCATCAGTTTACAAATATTTTTTCTAAAATAATAAAAATTATAAAAATTAATTTTCCCAAATATGAAAAAAACATAAGAAGAAGGAAAAATTCTACTGATTTCCTTATGTCTCATAAATCATCTTACATCTTTTGGTTAGTGCTGATGAAAATGACGATTACTTAGCATTACTCTTAAGATGACCGAGTGAAATTTTTTTAACTTACGTAAAAGCTTATTTAATAACAATAAAATAAATTTTTCACCATATTCCGATTGCGAACCCATAATCGAAACGGGTCGTTACAATATTTATAATATACACATATAATTGATTTATTTAAAAATTTATTTAACTAACGGTTTTTTTCTTTTTTTTTGGTTTCTAACCCTAAAACTTCTAAAATTCTAAAAAAAAAAAAAATTATTAATTTATTTAAAATGCATTCATTGTAATCCTTTTACTTTTTTTTTTTTATTATACTTTTGTTATCACTTGTAATTATAATCAATAAATTTTAAAATTCTATTCATAAATTTTTTTCTTTTTTTTTTTATTAACAAAAATATATATACTCGTGATATTTTTTTCCTTTTGTCAAAAAATAACCTAACAATCGATTATGTCATTTTTTTACATACATCCGTATAAAAATAATAATAAATAAAATACAAAATTATTATTAACATTCTTATCTTAAAAAATAATTTCGATAATTTCTTTTTTTTGAAATTTCAAAATGAACGAATTGAAAACTGAAAACAAAATAATAAAATTTTTTTTTGTTTTTTCTTTATACCCTGTGTGCAAAAAAATAAATGCAAAATTATTCACCAAACGTGAAAATAAAAAATTATGTTTTTTACAAAATATATGTTGTAATATACATGACACGACAAAAAAAAAATATTATTAAATTTATAATGTTAAAACATCAAAACGAACAAACAATAAAAAAAAAAAAAAAAAACTAAAAACAAAAATTAATTTTTTTACAATAATAAAACATTGAAAACGAGAGTATTTTTAATTTTCTTCGGGGGGAGGGGGGGGGTTATATTCGATTCATACTGAGCTAAAAAAAAAAAAAAAATCATCTCATTTCCACGTTTCTTTTCGATTACATAACATAACTGGTTATTTTTATTTTTATTTTTATTTTTTTTTTTTCAAATTAGTTTAGTGTTTCAGTTTTTTCTGATTCATCTTTGGTGTCCAAAGTGGAAATTAGTCCGCCAAAATTATTATCAAAATTAATTTCTTCGAAAATTTCGTTGTTGGGTCCCAACCACTCGTGCAACGTGTTATCCATGGGATTAAAATTGGATCATCTGGATGGACATGAACTGTTTCGCGATCGATTGCTCAACGATGAAAATGCGCTATGACCAGATTGCAAACTCGTCATCGAACCCCTACGATTTAAAATATAAGAATTTTCTTTGAAATTTTC